GCTTCACATTGCCACACTACCGTGTGGCTGTGACTGAGGACCTGCCCCCTGGCTCCACTCTGCTCACCCTGGAAGCTACAGATGCTGATGGAAGCCGTACCCATGCCGCTGTGGACTACAGCATCATCAGTGGCAACCGGGGCCAAGTCTTCCAGCTAGAACCCAGGCTGGCTGAGGCTGGCGAGGGTGCTGGACCAGGCCCCCAGGCACTGGGCTGCCTGGTGTTGCTTGAATCTCTAGACTTTGAAAGCCTGACACACTACAATCTAACAGTGGCTGCAGCTGACCGTGGGCAGCCACCCCGAAGCTCAGTTGTGCCAGTCACTGTCACTGTACTAGATGTCAATGACAACCCACCTGTCTTTACCCGAGCATCCTACCGTGTGGCAGTACCTGAGGACACACCTGTTGGAGCTGAGCTGCTACATGTAGAGGCCTCTGACGCTGACCCTGGCCCTCATGGCCTCGTGCATTTCGCTGTTAGCTCGGGCGACCCATCAGGGCTCTTTGAGCTGGATGAGAGTTCAGGCACCTTACGACTGGCCCATGCCCTGGACTGTGAGACCCAGGCTCGACATCAGCTTGTAGTGCAGGCTGCTGACCCTGCTGGTGCACACTTTGCTTTGGCACCGGTGACAATTGAGGTACAGGATGTGAATGATCATGGTCCAGCCTTCCCACTGAACTTACTCAGCACCAGCCTGGCCGAGAATCAGCCTCCAGGCACTCTCGTGACCACTCTGCATGCAATTGATGGGGATGCTGGGGCTTTTGGGAGGCTCCGCTATAGCCTGTTGGAGGCTGGGCCGGGGCCTGAGGGCCGTGAGGCATTTGCACTGAACAGCTCAACAGGGGAATTGCGTGCACGAATGCCCTTTGACTATGAGCACACAGAAAGCTTCCGGCTGCTGGTGGGTGCTGCCGATGCTGGGAATCTCTCAGCCTCTGTCACTGTATCAGTGCTGGTGACCGGAGAGGATGAGTATGACCCTGTATTTCTGGCACCAGCTTTCCACTTCCAAGTGCCAGAAGGTGCCCGGCGTGGCCATAGCTTGGGTCATGTGCAGGCCACAGATGAGGATGGGGGTGCCGATGGCCTGGTTCTCTATTCCCTTGCCACCTCTTCCCCCTATTTTGGTATTAACCAGACTACAGGTGCCCTGTACCTGCGGGTGGACAGTCGGGCACCAGGCAGTGGAACAGCCACCTCTGAGGGTGGAGGCCGGACCCGGCGGGAAGCACCGCGGGAGCTGAGGCTGGAGGTGGTAGCACGAGGGCCTCTGCCTGGTTCCCGGAGTGCCACAGTGCCTGTGACCGTGGATATCACCCACACTGCACTGGGCCTGGCACCTGACCTCAACCTGCTATTAGTAGGGGCCGTGGCAGCCTCTTTGGGAGTTGTGGTGGTGCTTGCACTGGCAGCCCTGGTCCTAGGACTTGTTCGGGCCCGTAGCCGCAAGGCTGAGGCAGCCCCTGGCCCAATGTCACAAGCAGCACCCTTAGCCAGTGGCTCACTGCAGAAGCTGGGCCGGGAGCCGCCCAGTCCACCACCCTCTGAGCACCTCTATCACCAGACTCTTCCAAGCTATGGTGGGCCAGGAGCTGGAGGACCCTACCCCCGTGGTGGCTCCTTGGATCCTTCACATTCAAGTGGCCGAGGCTCAGCAGAAGCTGCAGAGGATGATGAGATCCGCATGATCAATGAGTTCCCCCGTGTGGCCAGTGTGGCCTCCTCTCTGGCTGCCCGTGGCCCTGACTCAGGCATCCAGCAGGATGCAGATGGACTGAGTGACACATCCTGTGAGCCACCTGCCCCTGAAACCTGGTATAAGGGCCGAAAGGCAGGGCTGCTGCTTCCAGGTGCAGGAACCACTCTCTACCGAGAGGAGGGGCCCCCAGCCACTGCCACAGCCTTCCTGGGGGGCTGTGGCCTGAGCCCGGCACCCTCTGGGGACTATGGCTTCCCAGCAGATGGCAAGCCATGTGTGGCAGGTGCACTGACAGCCATTGTGGCTGGCGAGGAGGAGCTCCGTGGCAGCTATAACTGGGACTACCTGCTGAGTTGGTGCCCTCAGTTCCAACCACTGGCCAGTGTCTTCACAGAGATCGCTCGGCTCAAGGATGAAGCTCGGCCATGTCCCCCAGCTCCCCGTATCGACCCACCACCCCTCATCACTGCCGTGGCCCACCCAGGAGCCAAGTCTGTGCCCCCTAAGCCAGCAAACACAGCTGCAGCCCGGGCCATCTTCCCACCAGCTTGTCACCGCTCTCCCATCAGCCATGAAGGCTCCTTGTCCTCAGCTGCCATGTCCCCCAGCTTCTCACCCTCTCTGTCTCCTTTGGCTGCTCGCTCACCCGTTGTCTCACCATTTGGGGTGGCCCAGGGTCCCTCAGCCTCGGCACTCAGCGCAGAGTCTGGCCTGGAGCCACCTGATGACACGGAGCTGCACATCTAGCTGTGGCCCAGGCTGGGCCCCGACCTGGGATGCGTACAGTGTCCCCAATGCAGGCCCCACTCTGAGCCTGCCCTGGGCAGCCTTGGACCATGACTGGCTACGGGGAGGCCACTACCAGGCCCCAGTTCTCCACCCTGAACTCCCCAGCCCCCTCAGAGCACTAGGACCACAGAAGCCCTGTTGGTCACTGACCTGTGGCCAGGTCCAATGTGGGGAGAAATATGAAGGAGGTAGCAGCCCTGGGTTCTCAGTGAGGGCTCCCTGCTCTGCACCAGCACCATGAGATGGAGCTGAGACTTTTATTTATTAGGGGGTAGGGGGATGGAGGAGGTCCCTCCAACGTATTTGGACCCAGCTCCTTTGGGTTCCACTGACACCCTGCCCCTGCCCAGAACCAAGTGCCAATTCTCACTCTGGAGCCTTAATAAACTGCAATTTGTATCCGGTCTCCGGCTTTTGTCAAATAGGGATGACTGGAAGACACCTAGCAGACTACTGTGGACACTTCAGGAGGCACACAGCAGTGGTGGGGTGGGGATGGCACTGGGAGCTCAGGAGCCTAGCCTGAGGCTGATGATCACATCTCTCTGCAGCTAATCTTTTCCTTCTAATATGAGCAAGAGGCCAGGAAGACCTTGAGAGGGATCAGTTGGGTGGGAGAGGGGATCTTGGTGATGACCAGCTCTGGGCCTGAGGTTCTTAAAATAGATTGAGGTGGATACAAGAGCAGTCAAGTGGTTTGTTTTTCTTGAGGCCACTAAAAATCCACATTGTAATAATAGCTCAGTTTGTTGAACCTTTGTCATGTCAGGCTCTCTGCAGGAGGCTGTCTTGCCTCATCTCGGTGTAAATTTTCAGTCATACAAAGGGATTTGGGAACCACTGGTGTAGACTGTTCTGTGGGAGAGCCACGCTGTGAGGAAAAGGCAATTGGCCAATGTTTGAGTAGTTCATAGGATTGAGGAAATTGGGAAAAAAAAAAAAAAAAAAAAAGGCTGCGCATGGTGGTTCATGCCTGTAATCCCTGTACTTGGGAGGCCGAGGCAGGCGGACCACCTGTGGTCGGGAGTTTGAGACCAGCCTGACCAACATGGAGAAACCCCATCTTTACTAAAAATACAAAATCAGCCAGGCATGGTGGCACATGCCTCTAATCCCAGCTATTCGGGAAGCTGAGGCAGGAGAATCACTTGAACCTGGGAGGCAGAGCTTGCAGTGAGCCGAGATCGTGCCATTACACTCCAGCCTGGGTAACAAGAGTGAAACTCCATCTCAAAAAAAAAAAAAAAAAAGGTTGCGGTCAAAGAGAAATGTTTATGAGCATGGTGCTAGTAAATACAGCTCTAGGATCCAAGCTCAGTGGGAAAGTAGAGAGATCAATGGACAGGAAGAAGTCAGATTAATAGTGAGGAAACAATCGCTTGAAAAACCAGAAGGTTATAGTCTAAGAGAGGATTCTATAATTAAAATTTCAAAGGTAGAGCAGTTTTGAGAGATAGTCCAGGTGTAGTGATGGGACTGGTGTGCTCAAGTGAAGTGAATGGGTTTAATGAGATGAAAGAAATGGAAGGTTAGGGTGTTGAATTGTCTTTTATCTAGATATTTTGATCATCTAGATCAAATGATCACAGGAATTGGGGTGGACAGAAAGGTGAAGTGCCATAATCTTTAGTGTGGGGATATAATCTATAGGTCTATGGGTATCAGTGGCCTGTAGGACAAAAGAAAGAGTATTGAGGTCAGAACAAGGGATTTCACATGAGTATTGGATTAATGGTTTTGGATGTTAAAATGATACTGCTGACATCAACTTCCATATGGATTTTCTTGGAAAAAAAAAAATAGAAGACTGCAAGAGAAGTGAATCCTCAGGGTACTGTCATTGAAAATCCTCTTGCAATGACCTCAATTAGAAGTAGTCAACTCAGACCTCCTTGTGGGCTTTGAGTTACCACTAGGAAGAAGCAAAGATCTGTTTCCATCTTATCCACCTGAACCCACTAAACAAGATGCAAGATTCCTCCATGGCTCTTGGAACAAAGCTGATTTCCTTGAAAACTTTAGGAACCATAATAAACAGGACCCCAGCTGATTGCAGATCTCCTGGGAAGCTACTTAAAACTGGAAACTGATGTGAATAAAAAGATCCTGGTCTTGCAAAAGCTCTACTCTGTTCATAAATGTAGTCCTAGAATGAACACAAAATTGATAATAAGGGGACATAGAGGGTAAGGGAGGAAAAAATTTTTTTTCACTGCAATCTTTCGAGGCAGATCACTTTTATATAAGTCTCCATATTGTAAATGCAGAAACCTAGGCTCTGAGAGGTTATTTTGCTGATATACACCTAGGAAGAGCCCCAGTCTGTGGGTCTCCAGATACTCACTTATAGTGATTCCCAGGGGACCAGGCTCAGGATGCAGGTGAGGAGCCCTGGGCTTAGTGCTTGACTGGCCAGAGGGGAGAATCGGAGTGGCAGCACTACCCTTGCCTAGCATTCAGGACCACCCATGCAAGGGAGGAGCCAGCACCGTCACTAGTTACTAGGCGGAAGAGTGGTGGCGGTGGTGGAATATAAGGCTCATGTGATCTGTCACATGACAGCAGACCTGCGGAAGGTCAGAATGGGACTCCAAGCCTGGTGAGAAATTGAGAGGGCTTGGGAGAAAGGGATAACGTTGGAGGGAGTACATGTTGGGAAGGTGGGAACACAAAGACAATCTAGCTCCCACTGAAACCCACCTGCTGCCCCTACAGCCTCCTAGGGCTCTTTGCCCTCATCCTCTCTGGCAAATGCAGTTACAGCCCGGAGCCTGACCAGCAAAGGACGTGAGTTGACTTAGCAAAGACCGCCCCCTTCTCCATGCCCTGTTCTGTCTCCCACTGTCCTGGTCCTAGCTTCCCTCACCCCTGTGCCAGCTCCTAGTACTCACTCCATAGCTTCATCTCCAGGTTCCCAGGCTCAGTCCCCTATCATTCACCTCATGTGATCTGTATCTGCTCTTAGGGATCCTACCCAAGGTCTCAGCTCCTAATGTGGAACCTTCCATAACCAATATTTTCCATCTCCACCCCAACCAAAGCCATGTCCCTGACCCCTAACCTTACAGGCTGCCCCCAGGCTGGGTGTCCCTGGGCCGTGCGGATCCTGAGGAAGAGCTGAGTCTCACCTTTGCCCTGAGACAGCAGAACCTGAAAAGACTCTCGGAGCTGGTGCAGGCTGTGTCGGATCCCAGCTCTTCTCAATACGGTGCCTGTCGGGACTGGGGACAGGATGTGGGATGCAGTGGAGGGACATAGGGCTAGGTTGGGCATGGGATGGTGACGATGTCAGGGCCTGTCAAGACACTTGTATTCCTCATGCTAGAAATCTAAAAGGGGATGTGGCTCAGCATACAGGTTTTATGGTCAAATATGGACTCAAATTCTGATTCTGCTACTTACTAGCTACCAGGCAAATAGGGGAATAGCATCTGGTACCACTGAAGTTCCTCCCACTACCCTCGAAACCATTCTAATTTCCTCTTCTATTCATATACTAAGGTTTCCAGTTCTAACTCCCAGAGAGCCTTTGTATTAGTCTACTTCTTGCTGTCCTTTGTTACCACCAACTCAGTTGTTTATTCCCTCTCCTGGACTACTGCCCAGTTCCCCAACCAATCTGCAGTCTCCTCCTTCCACACCCCTCCTCACTGTACTCCCCTACTTTGCTTCAAAACAGTCTCTCCAACAGTCAAAATGGATTGGATCCTTCTCCTGGTTAAAGCCCTTCACAGCAGGGGGCAGAGTGCACATGTGACTGCAGAGGCTGGGGAGGGGGCAGTGTGATTCACCCAAGGTGAGCACTAGTGTGCATGGCGGGAAACAGTGACTCAGCATCGTGTTAAGTTTAAAATCAACAAGTATGTAAATTTTGAGCTAAACTGGATAACTGGAGCCAAAAGTTTTGAAAACATTTACTGGAGATAAGCTTAAAATGGAAAATTTATTATGTATTAACTTCATTCATTTTTCATGATCATGGCAATACATGCTGTGGTGTGGGATTTGCAACTTACTAGCCTTTAGGGTACATATATATTGTTTGCCATGGCATTTCAGGTCTCTCTAGCCTTTTCTTCCTCTGCTCCCTAAATACACCCTCCACCTGCACAGCCCTTTACTCTGTTCCAGGCTTTGGCAAGTCCTGATTCCTCATAGTTGAGGTCCAAAGAGGGGACTTTGGGAAATGAATGAGGGCAAGTGCCTATTCTGAATCCCTGCAGGAAAATACCTGACCCTAGACCATGTGGCTGATCTGGTGAGGCCATCCCCACTGACCCTCCACACAGTGCAAAAATGGCTCTTGGCAGCTGGAGCCCGGAACTGCCATTCTGTGATCACACAGGACTTTCTGACTTGCTGGCTGAGCATCCGGTGAGAGAATGATTGTTCCATTGAGGGAACCAGTCATCCCATCAGTGAGATGGACGGGAGGGAGTTGAGACCTTGCTGGGGCTTGTGGGTGAGAGCTAATGCATGGGGAGACAGTGACTGACTGCCCAGGGATGCTCAGAGGCAGCTTCTTCTGTTCTGAGCTTTCTGACCTCTGTTCTCTGACCTCCAGACAAGCAGAGCTGCTGCTCCCTGGGGCTGAATTTCATCACTATGTGGGAGGAACTGCAGAGACCCATGTTGTAAGATCCCCACATCCCTACCAGCTTCCACAGGCCTTGGCCCCCCATGTGGACTTTGGTAATACCCAGTGGGGTGAATGGGGGTTGGGGCAGACAGACCCAGGGGCTGGGGAAGTTTAGATGCCATTGGGGACTGGGGATGGGGTGAGTAGTAGAGTGGGCATTACAGTCTGTAAGATCTCCTCAAGCCTGACTTCTCCCCACAGTGGGGGGACTGCACCGTTTTCCCCCGACATCATCCCTGAGGCAACGTCCTGAGCCGCAGGTGGCAGGGACTGTAGGTATGCATCTGGGGGTGACCCCAAATGTGATCCGTAAGCGATATAACTTGACCGCACAAGACGTGGGCTCTGGCACCAGCAATAACAGCCAAGCCTGTGCCCAGGTGAGCCAAGCAAAGAGCCCCAGGGTCCTCATAGCCTCTGCACAGTGTCCTCGTTGCCTTACCACCCTGGGACTCACCCTCAGACCCATGATCCCTGCTCTGACTCCCTCCATAGTTCCTGGAGCAGTATTTCCGTGACTCAGACCTGGCTAGGTTCATGCACCTCTTCGGTGGCAACTTTGCACATCAGGCATCAGTAACCCGTGTGGTTGGACAACAGGGCCGGGGCCGGGCCGGAATTGAGGCCAGTCTAGATGTGCAGTATCTGATGAGTGCCGGTGCCAACATCTCCACCTGGGTCTACAGTAGCCCTGGTACTGCCAAGAGGACTGGACAGTGGGGAAGGGGGTGGGAGGTGGGTGCTGGTCCCTGCTGCCTCAAGGGAATGCTATAAGCTGGAGAGAGATCCTGACAATTCCCAATGACTAACCTTGTGCCCACCCCTCAAAAAAAAAAAAAAATCCAGGCCGGCATGAGGGACAGGAGCCCTTCCTGCAGTGGCTCATGCTGCTCAGTAATGAGTCAGCCCTGCCACATGTGCATACTGTGAGCTATGGAGATGATGAGGACTCCCTCAGTAGCGCCTACATCCAGCGGGTCAACACTGAGCTCATGAAGGCTGCCACTCGGGGTCTCACCCTGCTCTTCGCCTCAGGTGACCTCCTACCCTAAACTTAGACACCCCCTTCACTCTTGCAACCTGGAAGCTTTGACCCCACAGTGACCCCTGAGCCTGGTCTCTAACTCACAATCTGAACTGAGACCTTCCAACTGGGACCACTGACCTGATCTCTAAACTCTGACCTCCTGCAGTAATAGCTGACACCTAAATTTCCTCTCTGACATCTGAACCCACATACTAAGCCCTAACAAATTAATGAGTGCTACATTTGGCCTCTCTTAGGTGACAGTGGGGCTGGGTGTTGGTCTGTCTCTGGAAGACACCAGTTCCGTCCTTCCTTCCCTGCCTCCAGGTAAGAACTCTAGCCTACCACTCAGGTATAACCACCACCTTTCACTTGTGAACTCATGATGTAGAACCTTTGTCTTGATCCCACCACGTGCTCCTGTGGTTCAGCTTTAAGCTTTGCCTGCCCTGGCTGCTACACTCCCATGTCTTCTTCCTGTGGGTCCCAGTCCCCAAATCTCTTATGTGGCATACAGCTCCCACTGTTTCTTTTCCTCAGTCCCCAGGCATTTTAGTGGAAGATCTGGTGGATGTTCTACAGAGAAAAGTGTGCACAGTCACCTCAGGCCATGCCTTGAAGGCTCAAAAGTCTTAGTCAATCCCCATGATTCCCCACAAAGTCTAATTTCTCCAGCAAGACGTGGTCCATATTCACCCCTCCCCACATATCTTAGAGGTCCGCTTGCATCCCCTACTATCTGAATGCTGTCTTCTGCCCTCAGCCCCTATGTCACCACAGTGGGAGGCACAAGCTTCCAGAATCCTTTCCTCATCACAAATGAGATTGTTGACTATATCAGTGGTGGTGGCTTCAGCAATGTGTTCCCACGGCCTTCATACCAGGTACATGTGTTTGTGTGGATGGATGCAGGGTAAGAGTGGGGAAGGGGGATCCTCAGTTCAGCTGACTGCTGGGCAGGCCACAGGCCAATACTCACTCAAAAATGCCTTTCAGGAGGAAGCTGTAGCCAAGTTCCTGAACTCTAGCCCCCACCTGCCACCATCCAGTTACTTCAATGCCAGTGGCCGTGCCTACCCAGATGTGGCTGCACTTTCCGATGGCTACTGGGTGGTCAGCAACAGTGTGCCCATTCCATGGGTGTCTGGAACCTCGGTGAGAATCAACCCATCTCCAAACTCTCACTCAGGAATTACTCTTACCCACTAACACCTTGAGCACCTTGTATCCAGAACCCAACTACTTAGAGATGTCTGATACTCTAAAGCATCACTCCCAAAAAGTCCAGTCACTCAGAACCCCTGACTTCTACTTGCACCTTCACTCTTGCAGGCCTCTACTCCAGTGTTTGGGGGACTCCTATCCTTGATCAATGAGCACAGAATTCTCAGTGGCCGCCCCCCTCTTGGCTTTCTCAATCCAAGGCTCTACCAGCAGCATGGGGCCGGACTCTTTGATGTGAGTATGGAAGGGAAGGGTGTGGACATTTTCATGCAACTATGGAGAGTGCTAAGGGGTACTTGAGGGGCAGTTGGGGTGGTGTGGAATAGGCTCTGAAATGTGAATATAGGGTAAGGAGGTATACTTTTTAAGTACTGGTACTAGCAGGCCCAGATCTGATGCCAGCCTCCTCCCTAGGTAACCCATGGCTGCCATGAGTCCTGTCTGAATGAAGAGGTGGAGGGCCAGGGTTTCTGCTCTGGCCCTGGCTGGGATCCTGTGACAGGCTGGGGAACACCCAACTTCCCAGCTTTGCTGAAGACTCTACTCAACCCCTGACCCTTTCCTATCAGGAGAGGTGACTTGTCCCCTGCCCTGAACCTGGCAGTTCAGTACCTTATTTTGCCCTGTTGGAAGCCCTGCTGAATCCTCAGCTGCACACTGATGCAGACAGCTTATCTCCCTAACCCTGAAATGCTGTGAGCTTGACTTGACTCTCAACCCTACCATGCTCCATCATACTCAGGTCTCCCTACTCCTGCCTTAGATTTCTCAATAAGATGCTGTAACTACCATTTTTTGAATGCCTCTTCCCCCGCAGCGCATCTTTCTCTTTTCAATCAGGCTTTTCCAAAGGGTTGTGTACAGACTCTGTGCACTGTTTCACTTCATATTCACTCCTCAATTCATTGCAAGGAGACCTCTACTCTCACCTTTTACTCTTTCCTATCCTGACATCCAGAAACAATGGCCTACAGTGCATACTTCTCAATCTTGGCTTTATGGCCTTTCCATCATAGTTGCCCACTCCCTCTCCTTACTTAGCTTTCAGGGCTTAACTTCTCTGACCCCTGTTATCTTTCTCCTTCATCAACTTCTACTTCTTCATGGAATGCTGATCTTCATTGCTCCATTTGTAGGCTTTTGCTTTTCTCAGTTTACTCATTGTTCCGGGGAATAAATCACTGACATCTACAACCATTATCATCTCACTAAATAAGACTTTCTATCCAAAAGTGATTGATACCTCAAATGTAAGATGTGTGATACTCAACATTTCGTATTCCACCTTCCCAACCCCAAACAATTCCATCTCGTTTCTTCTTGGCAAATGATGCTATGCTTTTTCCCACCAAGCCAGAAACCCGTGTCATCTTTCTACCCCACCTTCAATCAACAAGTCCTATTGACTGTACCTCTTAAATATATCTTTATCAGTCCACAAGTCCTTCCAATTATATTTCCCAAATATATCTAGAACGTATCCACTTCTATCCCCACTACTACTACATTAGTTTAGGGCCATGTTCTCCTGGGAAAAAACAAACAAAAAAACAAAAAACAGTGTCCTTACTTCCTGCCAATCCCCAAACCATCTTCCAGAGTAAAATGCAAATCCCATCAGGCCACTTGATGAAAACCCTTCAAGGATTACTGGATAGAGTTCAGGTTTTTTTTTTTTTTCTTTCTTTCTTTTTTTTTTTTTAATCATAGCTCACAAACCTTCCTTGCTATTTGTTCCTAAGTAACAAATCATTTTTCCTCCTCCCTCCCCAAACTCCTAGAACTCTCACTCTTGCTCAAGCTGCTCCGTCCCCTTAACACCACCCTTGATACAATTGCCTGGTTAATTTCCAGAATTCTTGCAAGACTCAGCTCAGAAGTCACCTTCTGTCGTGAATGTTTTGATTCCCTGAGGCTACTTTATTTTGGTATGGGTAAAGAAAAAAAAAACAACCCTAGATTTTCTAAACAAAACCTGTTTGAATCTTGGTTCTGAAATCGACTAGGAGACCGACTGGGTCAAGTAAGTTTATCACCCTGAGGCTGTTTCCTCGTCTGTTAAGTGGGAATATCAATACCTGCCTTTCATAATAACCAGGGAATAAAGTGAAATAACGTTGATAAGCGTGCTTGGGACCTGGGAGTAGGTGGCAGATGTTAACGCCCTTCCTCCCTTGCACTGCACCCCCTGTGCCTACCTCTAGCATTGTAACGCCCACATAGTATTGAAATGGCCAGTTTACTTGTTTGACTTCCTTTCAAGACCGCTGGTACCTAGAGGACTAGAATCACGTCCTATTTAACTGTATCCCCAGGCCCTAGCTCAGGAGTTGGCAAACAAGAATTAAATGTCTGCTACATTGAAAATCCCACGTCTTTCACTCGCTGTGATTTTTGCGTATGCTGTTACTCAGGCTGAAACCCCTCCTCCTACAGCAGCATTGTGTGCCAGCCCACTGCTGCCTCCACCTCTCGGGGCAGTTGGAGGAGACGGGGGGACTTTCCAAATCCACTACGAACCCTTAAAAGGCTGAATAAGGGAACTTGAAAGGATGCAGACAGGCAGGCAATCCGTAGTCGAGGGATGTAGGGCCATAAACCTCTAAGCAAGGTCTTGAGTGTCAGGCAGAATGAGCTGACAGAGGAGTCAGAGGAGTCCCAGACGTACGCTGGTTCCGATCTCGACAGAATCGCCGCGGAGCACTGCACAGGCTTAGGGCGGAATGGCGACGGCAAGCGCAGTTGGCCAACGCTTGGTCTCCGCCCTTCAGCCTATTTCCTCTAACCCGCAGACCCGCTACGGGAGGAGGGCGGGGAGCGGGCCGGAGAGCGCTAACAGTGACAGGCGGGGCGAGTCGTGGGCGCGTGACGTCACCCCGGGGTGTGCGCAGCGCGAGCGGAAGCGGAAGCGGCTCTGTTCGCCGCCTCTCCCACCGGCCCGATGAGCTGCAGCGGCTCCGGCGCGGACCCCGAGGCGGCGCCAGCCTCTGCCGCCTCGGCCCCGGGCCCGGCGCCCCCGGTCTCGGCTCCCGCCGCGCTGCCAGCTAGCACCGCCGCGGAGAACAAGGCCAGCCCCGCGGGGACAACAGGGGGGCCTGGGGCTGGAGCAGCTGCTGGGGGCACGGGACCCTTGGCGGCGCGGGCCGGGGAACCAGCTGAGCGGCGCGGGGCAGGTGAGGACCAGGACGGGTGAGGGCGAGGGCAGCGCCTTGGACTGGGCCCAGCGGCGGTTGAGGGCAGAAGGTATAGGCTGACCTCGCTGGGGCCCTGCGCCTCCCACCTCTGTGTCTCATTTTGCTGGTTCTCCTCCAGCTCCGGTGTCGTCGGGTGGCGCGGCGCCCCCGGAGGGGGCCATGTCTAACGGGGTTTACGTACTGCCGAGCGCGGCCAACGGAGACGTGAAGCCCGTGGTATCCAGCACGCCTCTGGTGGACTTCTTGATGCAGCTGGAGGATTACACGCCTACGGTGGGCTTCCCGCCCGAACAAGGCTACCTCGCGTGCAATCACAACTTTCAGCTACATCTCCGTGCTTTCCAGCGTCCTCTGTTTGCTTCCCTAGTCGCTCTTCTGATTTTTTTGCCCTCTGCCCCACAAACAGCTTCCTGATAACCAGGCCTATCCGACATTTCCCTCGTCCTCCTCCCGCTCTGCTGACAGTTCTCTTAATTGATTTCTCAGATCCCAGATGCAGTGACTGGTTACTACCTGAACCGTGCTGGTTTTGAGGCCTCAGACCCACGCATGTGAGTAAACCCAGGGCAGGTTAGTTTTGGGTACTTGTGCAGTGTGTTGTTCATCTCCTTCTCATCTCAGTTTTTTCTCTCTAGAATTCGGCTCATCTCCCTAGCTGCCCAGAAATTCATCTCAGATATTGCCAATGATGCCCTACAGCACTGCAAAATGAAGGGCACAGCCTCCGGCAGCTCCCGGAGCAAAAGCAAGGTGTGAGGGGAGGCTCAATGAATCAGTAATTACCTTCCACAACAGTGGAGGCTTATCCTGCCACCCCCTTGGGGAAACTGAATCCTAGGGGAGGTACAAGACTTATTCAGGGTCACCCATCTGGGATTGAAGTCTAGGAGTCCTGTGTTCAGTTGGTACTCTTCGCTCTTTCCTCAGGACCGCAAGTACACTCTAACCATGGAGGACTTGACCCCTGCCCTCAGCGAGTATGGCATCAATGTGAAGAAGCCGCACTACTTCACCTGAGCCACCCAACCTAAATGTACTTGTCTGTCCCCATGTCCCCACACCAGCCTGTTTTCATAATAAACTTTATTGTGACAGGCGGGGCTGATCCCTCCCATGTTGGGAGACACCATGTGGAAAGTGACAAAAGCTCTGAGCCTGCCCCTTTTGGGGCCACAGTGGTAGGGATGCGGGAAGGGGATGGACCCCATCGCTGGGGTAGTACCATGACAGGAGGCAGGGGAGGCAATCAGAGGCCTGCTGCTTTGGGGAGGTGCACTCCCCCAACCATGTCCTGACACCTTTGGAGTTTAGGCAAGGACTTTCCAGTCCTACTTGTCCTGCATCTTCTCCAGGATAGGCACAATCATATCAAATTTGGGTCGCTTTGCAGGGTCTTCATTCATGCAGATCTTCATGAGCTTACACACATGAGGGGAAATACCTGGTGGGATGGTAGGCCGAAGGCCTTCCAATGCCACCTGCAAATACAAGAAAAAACTGAGCCTTAGAATTTGAGTCCGTCTTGTAGAGAGAAGCGACTGGCTCTTGGGGCAGGATTATTGTATATCCGAACAAATACGGGAGGAGCCCAGGCCCACTACAGTTATTTCCACCATCACCAACCACTCCCCCAACACAAACGTATGCTATTCTGCTCACCTTCATTCCAATCTCCATATTGGAGAGATCAGCAAAGGGTACCTCCCTTGTCACCAGTTCCCACAGAAGCACTGCAAAACTCCACATGTCTGCTGAGCGTCTGTTTGTGTCTTCAGGCTTCTTCTGCAGAGCTGGAGGAATAGAGCTTTCTGTTCCAGCCCCCTGTCCTGTCCTGTCTCTGTCCCCTTCCACTACTACTGAGGTGGTCCTTTTTTACTTCCCAACGTGATACCCTCACCCACCTTCAGGGGCTACCCAGGCAGGTGCATACATGCGCCCAGGACATTGGAAAGAGAACTTGACATCAGCCATACTAATTCGGGCAGTCATGTCCTCATCAATCTGAGGAAGAGAAATGGATATTGTAGAAGGAGGTAAGTCCTATACAGGGAAAAGGGCTTTGGGGCCTGGGGCAGGAGTGAGCTTATGGCCTCACCATTACACTACGGCTATTCAATGCATGTCGTGGGATGAGGGGTTCTAGTGTGTGTAGGAAGGCCATGCCCCTTGCCATGTCCAAAGCAAACTTCACAGCCTGGCTCTGGTCCACAACAAAATCTGAGAGTAAGCAAGAGTCAGTTCAGAGAGGCTCATGTACCCTTTCTCCCATTTTCTCCCCAAGGAGATTCAGCATCCATACTCACTGGTGCCTTCATGTAGTACATTGTAGAGGGATCCATATGGCATCCAGTGTGTGATGAGGGTAGGATGAGGAGCAGGTGGAGACTGGCAGGCACCTAGCACTGGGAGCACATTTGGATGCGAGAAAATCCTGGAATTGGGGGGAGTGGTTAAGACCCAGTATAAAAGATCTCTCAGTGCTATTCAGGGTTCCTTGGAACTAGCAGCTTCTAGGTTATGCCTTGCACTACCTGAGCCGGGGACACTCTTCATTGAAGTCCCTGCTCTTCCTTGTACTCCAGTCTCGAACCTTCAGCACCTTCACGACAATGTCATTGCCCTGCCAGCGGCCCTTCCATAGCTGAAGGACAGGTAGAGGTTAGGAGGCTTGAACTGTGGCTATCACTTCCTTGCCCAGTAACTGGAGGAAAAACTTAAAACAGGTACAGAGCAGGTAATTTATGGGGGTTTAGTGAGGGAAGGGCAAGAAGGGCAGGGGTCACCTCTCCAGAATGATTCTCATTGAGCTTCGTCAGGAAGTTCAGCTGTTTGAAGTCAATGCCAGAGTGTTTGTTCAGGGTTCCATTTCCTAAGAGAGTGGGCAGGTCAGGTTCCCAGCTTTACCCTAACCCAGTATTATTTACTTGTACAACCCTTCCAACAGTAATGACTCACGAGGCCGAGTGCGGGTGGTTCCCTTCCAGAACGTATCCTTGTATGGAATACGGTTGAGATTCTGGCCCATCTTCTCTGCCCGCTCTAGGGAAGAAAAACAACCTGAGCTGTGGTACAGAGGAAGAAGACAGGTGGGGAAGGACAAGAGGACACAAGCTAGCGGGTGGGGAGATGGACCTCGGAGAAGCTCTCTCAGGGGTGCCTTGGCTTTGTCCACAGGCATCTCTCCATACTTGTTACAGATGCTGACAAGGGCCCCATTTGCCACCAGGTCCTGGAATGAAAAAGCCATTATAATGAGGGCCATTGCTACCTCTCTGGCAGTCACTGAACCAACCATGAACACAAAAATGTTGTACTTAATCCTGTGGGTGTCACACAGTAGTACTGACAGAAAGGGTTGAGGGTTCCAAAATCTCCCACCCAGGCTGATTTTACTTCCCACCCATCTCAGGACTTCAGGCCTGAGTACTCACCTCTGCCACTTGGTCTTGGCCCCAAAAACAGGCATAGTGCAGGGGCACGTTCCCATGTTCATTCACTGCATTGATGTCTGCCTTGTACTGCAATAGCTGAACCCCATGGCCAGACAAAAAGAAGGAGGCAGAAGGTGCAGTCAGTCCCAAATGAGATATTGGGTCAGGGCATAGGAAAAAGGGGAAGAGTACACATACTTTCTACTGTATTAACAGTGCCTGTGACTAACCCTCATGGCATGTATGTGATGTGGGTAACGAAGGGGTTTGTACATACCTTCTGTACAATATCACGGTGTCCATGACTGGCTGCCAGATGCAGGGGGGTGTCATCCCCACGGTTCATTACATTGATCCGTGCCCCCCGCATGATCAGCATCTCAACCACAGCAGAGCGGCCCTCTCGGCAGGCCCAGTGCAAGGGGGAGAAGCCATGATCGTCCCTTTGAGGAAGGGGCAATGGTCATTGAGCTGGAGGTGGGATAGGGCAAAGGTTTTGATTCCTGAAAAACTGATAATTACATACTCTCTGGGAAGGCTTACCTCTCTAGGACTTTGATTCTCATTCATGCCAGCAACTCCCAAAGCTGTCCATTTCAGACCTTCCCCTGAGCTTCAAAACCAACTAGCTAGATACCTCAACAACCTCTATAAAAAATTTTATCTTCACCATATCCCACATCTCATTTCATGAGGTGGTAGCACTCTTCCCCTTGTTTCTCCTGCACCCCTTCCACAACATCTGTTGGTCCTTTCTGTTTTCCACTGCATCTTATATATCCTCCTACTTCAGCACTTGTCACACTGGATTGTAAAAATCTGTTAATATACTGTCTTGTCTGTTAGACTTTAAGTTTCTTGAGGGAATGGATTGACAGCAGCTGTTCAGTGCACGTTAGTTGGGGAGAAGGGTGTCTTGGAGAAGACAGGCCACAACTTACAGGAGAAGGAACAAGCTTACTATTTAGCTCTGGTACTGAAACTAACATCTAAAAATGGGATGGAATTTAAATGATGTTTTGGAAGGGTTTATATTGAAAAGGAGAAAGGCTTTTGACTACTGATGAGGCAGATAACAAACCACCATGCAAAGCAGGATTCCCCTATTTAGCAATCCCATGCACAGAAAACAAGAAAATGAGAACGGCTGTTTTGGAAGGAAAACTATATCTGATTTTTTTTCTTTTCCCAGAGATATGTATTTTATAAAGTAAAATATGTATACAAACAAAACAATTGGTTTGGAGCTGTGCCTGCCTGACAGCATGGGGCCATAAAAGGAAATTTCCTCTAGTTCGGGGCTGCAGATTCAAGGGGCGGAGCAGGGGGCGGTCCTTGGTCTAGGCCAGCAGCCTCCAGATGCCTTAGTGCTGTGGTCACTTCCTGTGTTGGGACTCTAGGCAAGGCCTGGAGCTGATCAGGGGTCTGGCCATCCAGAGGCCCCTACAGCTGAAGAGGTTGGGGGGTGTGGCCTTTAACTTAATCATTTTCCTCCAAAACTGGCTCGCATCTGCTAACACAGAAATAGCCAAAAGCTTTTCCTGGATGGGGATATCCCCAGGAAGCAATGACACCCCGTTTATCAGTTGGTCTTGCCTCCTACACTTTTAATTTGTGCCCTAACTTATCAGCCTCCAGTACTGCCTGCGGCCCCAGGGCAGGCCAAACTCTGGGGGCAAAAGTATGGGCACAAGGGTTCTGTTCACTATGAGGCTGCTTGTCACCCCAGGGCCTAGACTTTTATCTAAAGGAGATTTGCAGGAAATTAACCCCCTCTTCATATCTAGCATATAGCCAGCTTAGGCCCCCATACCTTATCCTCTCAAACCAGCACCAAAACCTTCCAGTTTCTTTAATGCCACCCTTTTTCCTTTTTGTAGCATCTTCCTAGAGTCTTCCTAGACTCAGCTAGAGTCTTCCTAGATGCTAGGCCCACTGGGCAACTGCCTAAGCCTATATTTCCTCACCAACAAAATAGTAACAGTGCTTAACTGTCTTTATAAGAGTATCCTTTGAGAACTATATGAAAAATGTAACAAATGACTTTGCAGAGTATTAAAGAGAAGTAGTGTAGAGCATAATGGGAACCAGTGAAGTCTAGACTGAGAGGACAGGTGATCCTGACCCGTCAAACTTAAAAACTAAAGTCTACCAATCTTAAATAATTAGAATCTGCCGCTCTCAGTCACCATCACTATATCACTCTTCTTGCCTTCCTATCTCAGCCAACCTTATAGAACTGGTCTACATTCACTTTCTCTATTTGCTCACCTCCCATTCACTTTTCTTTTACTTTCTCTTTTTTTTTTTTGAGACCGAGTCTCACTCTGTGGCCCAGGCTAGAATGCAGCGGCTCAATCTTGGCTCACTGTAACCTCCACCTCCCAGGTCCAAGCGATTCTCCTGGCCTCAACCTCCGAGTAGCTGAGATTACAGGTGCGCACCACCATGCCCAGCTAATTTTTGTATTTTTAGTAGAGACGGGTTTCACCATGTTGCTCAGGCTGGTCTCAAACTCCTGACCTCATGATCCACCTACCTCGGCCTCTCAAAGTGCTGGGATTACAGGCGTGAGCCACCATGCCCGGCCTACTTTTCAACCTGCCACAAATCTGCTGTCTGGAGGGCAGAGATTATGTGAGATTCTGGGACTCTAGCACCCAGCACAGAAGGTGTTCATCACAGTCCCTTAAATGAAGGAACCCAATATAGTGTGATTTCTTCACCCATTATTCTGAAACAACACTCACAGACCATCAAATATATCCTACCGCACATTGAAGGGGACAACAGACACTGGGGCCTACCAGAGTGGAGAAGATAGGAAGAGGGAGAGGATCAGGAAAAATAACTAATGAGTACTAGGTTTAATACCAGGGTGATGAAATGATCTGTACAACAATCCTCCATGACACAAGTTTACCTGTATAACAAACCTGCACATGTACCCCTGGAATTTAAACAAAATCCCAATTGTAAATTCAATAGCTACTTTAAAGTATTAATGTTCTTTGATCTCTTAGTAGCCTGTACTGCTGTTGACCACTTCCCCTTCATTGAAACATTCTTTTCTCTAAGCTTTACTCACACATTTTCCTACTTCCTTTTCAACTTCCAGTTGCTCTTTTTCAGTCTTGTAGGTTTCTTGTCCCCTGACCTCTTGCCTTCCACTCACCTGAGACATTCTCCTTCACACCCATGTATTCAAGTATCATCTATATGCTGATTCTGTGTCTCCAAGTCAGATTGCTCTCCTGAATTGCAAATCTGTATAACCAACAACACACTCAACATTTCCACCTTGTTGCATTGTCACCTTAACTTTAATATGTCCAAAATAGAACGCCTCATCCTCCAGTTTTCTCCATCTCTGTAAAAACAACCACCATCTACCCAAGTGCCCAAGCCAGAACCTGGTCCTCATCTTTACCCTTCCTCACTTCCCCACACCAAGTTCCACAATTCTTTGTCCTAAAGACTTTTGGAATGTGATCACCTTTCTTTTTCACTCACCCTAATTCTAGTCCAAGATAACATTACTTCTACGATGAACTAGGCAATTGCCTCCTTTCCACCTGCTCTTCACAAAGCATCCAAGATGATACTGAAAAATGGACAATCTCATTATGTCACTATACAGCTTTGAAACCTTGCTTTTAAAACAAAGACCTTCTTAGAGCCTAAATATGCTTGCATGATCTGGCTGATCTTTGCAGTCCTCTACAGCCTTACGCCCTGTTCTTCTCTTATGCCCAATGTTCAAACCCACAGAGATCATCTACTTTCCAGCCATATGGAAGTCCAATTTCCTGTTTGCTCTGTGCCTTGCCTCCTAGCCTTTGCCCATGCAGTTTACTGAGGCTGGAGAGCTCTCTGCAGCCTCTGCCTGTGAAACTCTTATTCAGCAGTCAAGATTCAGCTCAAACACTGCGTCCTCTGTGAAGACCCTCTGTGCCCTACAGGCTGTGCTTAGCACTCATTACACTGGATGGCAAAGTCAGCCGCCCCCACCAGACATGAGCACTCCACTCCACGCAGCCAAGAGGAGATCTCGAGCCTTTCTCTCATCCACCAACCGCTTCAGCTCACCCCTGATTGAGGTCGTTCTCCGTGTTGTCCAGCCACAGGCGAACGGCGACTGCGTTGCCCTCCCGGCACTGAGTGAAAATGTCGTCCATAGCAGCGTCCCGGCGCCGAGTCCCCCGGATTGGGGAAGCCTGGGGACTGTGGGGTGATCCAGGGAAGGAGGATGAACCCCAAGCTTTGTCCTCTACAGGAGAGAAGTGTTTGCATTGGGGGTTGGGAGCCTGAGGTGCGTTCCCGGCTACTGGTGGTCTGTGAAGGAGTTCAGGGCTGCGGGATGATCTGACTGTGTCCTCTAGGCGCGAGGTAAGGGCGGGGCAGGGGGTGATGAAGAGGTAGTGTTTCCTGAACGGAAGTCCGAGAGCAGGCAACTAGACCCTACTCGCGAACAGAGTTGGGGGAAGTGGGGAGGTTCAGGCTCCGCATACTTTGGGGGAGGGGGCCGGGGGTCCTCCCCAGGGTTGGCTCCGTTCCTTAATCGGAACTCAGGCGAAGTGAGGGGTGACAGGTTGGCAGGGCCCCCAGTCGTAGGCAGGGGGCGCGGGTCCTTCTCGCACTTACCGGGACTCGGGCAGCAGGCTCCTTGTCCTGCGAACTCCCGTCCGGCCGCGCCCGCCGCCTGCCGCCCGCAGCCAGCCCCGCCCCGCCCCTGGCGCTCTTGAGCAGCGCGGGCCTCCGTCCCTCCCCTCCCACCGCCTCCCTGCCGTTCTAGCCGCGAATGGCTAAACTCGATGGTTCGCGGCGCTGCGCCTGCCGCTCTAGCAGCCCTTGGCTGTCATGCTTTGGTTTCCGGCTCCGTTCTGGCGGGTCTGAGCCCTCGGACTCCCAGAGAGGCCCTCTGCACGTGGAGAAGAGCTGGGACTCTGCGACCCTGCTCTCCTGACCCTGATGTTCGAAGAGCCTGAGTGGGCCGAGGCGGCCCCAGTAGCCGCGGGTCTCAGGCCCGTAACCTCACGGCCTCTGCCTGCGGCCGCCTCGCAAAACAATGTGAGTGACCCTCAGGGGCAATGGGGCCTGTTTCAGGCCGCGAAGCGGACACTGGTGGATCCCAGTGTTGTGTGTATTGCTGGGAGGGATACCTGTGGCACCGTTGGGGGCGAGCCCTGCTTGGAACATCCGAGAACTTCCAAAAGAAACTGATGTTGGGTCAAAGAGAAAGTTGTTAAGTAGAAGTTGGTGAAGCGAAGAGGGTTCTTCAGATAGGAACAAGTACGTGCAAGGGCCCTGGGACAAGAGAGCATGTTCTATTAGAGTCACATACAAAAAAAGTGATCCTTGTGGATGGAATACAGAGTAAATGAGAGCAGATGCTGTTCAAGAGGAAGATTAGAAGTTTGCATATGTTGAGAATGGAGAGAAGCCAATGAAAGGTTTTAAACAATGGAATGATTTTTTTCAGATTTGTATTTTGAAAGGGTCATTGTTTACAGTGTGGAGGATGGATTGGAGAATGTAAGAGTTGTTAGTATCATTGTTCGAAGGAGAGTGTGGGAAACTTAGATTCTAAGTTCCTGGCCTAGGATTACCCAGTAGGACTGCAACCCAGAATCAGCTTTCTCGACAACACACCTTCTCCTTTGAGCCTCTGCAGATGTAAGGGCTGTGCTTCCTCGGGCTTTTCTTATCCTTCAGTCCGCTTCCATCATGGAATCAGCCTGTTTTGTTTCCTCCTTTTTCATCCCCTAGCCCCATTACCGTAATGCAGGCCGCTGGTCTCTCTGTCTTCATTTCTCCCCTTCAGTTTGTTCTCTACACTACAGGTAGAGACATGTTAAATATTTAATATACATGTGTGATCACATTGCTGCTGTGTTCAGAAACCTCCTTACCTCTTGTGGAAATGTCTCAGCTAGAGGCAAAAGCTTGAGGTGAGGGGTTGAAACTCCTGGTCTCTGGCCTTGGTCTTGTTGCTTGTGGCCTTGGTACGTTCCTTTGGGAAAACCTCCATTAGCTCATTTACACATTGAAGAAAGTGAGATAGGTGGTTTCTCTGCCTTCCAGCTTCTCAGAGGTTGGGGTGGTGATGTGAAAGTTCCTCTGGGTTCTGGCAGTCTTGACTGGGAAGAATTCAGATGCTTCTGCCAGCCTGAATCAGGTCCACACTCTCCCTTCCAGTCCTCATCCATTCTTTCCAGCCCCACTGTCATCCCTTGTTTTCCTCCAGGGCTCAAAGTGCCGCCAGCTCTTGGCCACATTACGGATCCTAGAGGCAGCATCTCTTTCCCAGAATCCCCCCAGCCTACCTAGCAGTGACTCTGAGGAGGAGGAGGTGGAAAGGAAGAAGAAATGCCCCAAAAAGGCATCGTTTGCCAGTGCCTCTGCTGAAGTAGGGAAGAAAAGGAAGAAGAAATGTCAAAAACAGGGCCCGCCTTGCAGTTACTCTGAGGAAGAAGTGGAAAGGAAGAAGACATGCCGCAAACAGGCTCTTCTTGGCAGTAACTCTGCTGAAGAAGAGAAAAGAAAGAGGAAATGCCAGAAACATGCCCCTTTAAATCCAGCCCAGCACCTGGATGATGTTGACCAAACAGGTACCATTGGATGTATATGTGTGTGTGTGTGTGTGTGTGTGGAGGAGTGGGATCAGCTGATTCTACATACAACAGAGGTTATCCACTGCCATTAGGATTAGGGCCAATGGTATACTCAGGCAATAAGAAGTACTTTTAATCAGACCACAGTCAGTGTCTCAAAGACAGAGGTATGACTGGGATGACTAGCCATGCCTCTGAATTTAAGAGATCTTGCCTCATGTACACCGTCCCATCTCCCTCCCTGCAGGTCCCAAAGCTTGGAAGAATAGTGCTACAAATGACCTGCCAAAGCCAAGCCCTGAGTCCACTTCCCCCAAACCCCCTCATACATTGAGTCGCAAGCAGTGGCGGAACCGGCAAAAGAATAAGAGAAGACATAAGAACAAGTTTCGGTCACCTGAGGTGCCAGACCAGGCTCTAGCCGAGGCCCCCACAGAGAAGACAGAGATGCCTCCTGTACCTAGGACAGAGAGCCATGAGGCTCGGGCAGGGGCTTTGCGAGCCCGCATGGCACAGCGGCTGGATGGGGCCCGATTTCGCTACCTCAATGAACAGCTATACTCCGGGCCCAGCAGTGCTGCACAGCGTCTCTTCCAGGAAGACCCTGAGGCCTTTCTTCTCTACCACCGCGGCTTCCAGAGCCAAGTGAAGAAGTGGCCACTGCAACCAGTGGACCGCATCGCCAAGGATCTTCGCCAGCGGTGAATTGGGGTCAGGCACTGTGAGAAGCCATGTGGTGGGTCAGTCATAGGCTTAGATCAGACCAATATGTGACCCTTCCCTTCCACTCTCAGGCCTGCATCCCTGGTGGTGGCTGACTTCGGTTGTGGGGATTGCCGCCTGGCTTCAAGTATCCGGAACCCTGTGCATTGCTTTGACTTGGCCTCTTTGGACCCTAGGGTCACTGTGTGTGACATGGCCCAGGTAAACCCCTATGTTATCTGGCTTGTGCTTCAGGCCCAACCTCCATATGCTAGTCTCTAACCTTTTCTTCCCCTTTCCCATCCTGGTGTTTCAGGGTTGGCTTTCTCCTTCTGCACTGTGTGTGCTTTACACAACACTCTCACTTTCCACAGGTGCCTCTGGAGGATGAGTCTGTGGATGTGGCTGTGTTTTGCCTTTCACTGATGGGAACCAACATCAGGGACTTCCTAGAGGAGGCAAATCGAGTACTGAAGCCAGGGTAAGAGCCTCTCCTTAGGACACAGATGCATATATATGTGTGTGTGTGCATGGGTCTGTGCATTTACACAGAACTTTCTGTCCTTCTCAGGGGTCTTCTGAAAGTGGCTGAGGTCAGCAGCCGCTTTGAGGATGTTCGGACCTTTCTGCGGGCTGTGACCAAGCTAGGCTTCAAGGTTGTCTCCAAGGTGAGGGCCCCGAGAAGTCTATACTTGTTTTTGTCTCATGTGGCCCTTTCAGGGTACTGGTGTTCAGGAAGGAGGCTTTAGGCACAGGAACAGACATTTTGCTCCCCAATAGAAGGCGGAGCCCTGTGAAGCTTTCTGAGCAGAGGCAGTAAGTGCAAAGAGGGAGGTGTTGGGGTGAGGATTTGGTTCTTACTGGGTCTTTTTTGTCCCTAGGACCTGACCAACAGCCATTTCTTCTTGTTTGATTTCCAAAAGACTGGGCCCCCTCAGGTAGGGCCCAAAGCTCAACTTTCAGGCCTGAAGCTTCAGCCATGTCTCTACAAGCGCAGGTGACCTCTAGATCTTCCTTGAAAGGGGAGGCAGAGCTTAAACTTCAGGTTCAGAACTGTGAAGACTATATCCAGCCTGGCTGTGAGCCAAGACTTGGTGGAACCCCAAGGACAAAGTGTGATAAAACCTCTGGCTCAGACTTGCTGTACTAGAGGTTTCTTGGTTATAAGATGCATAAAGTCACTGGGGCTAGCTAAACAACGAAGAGTTTATTGTGAGAACATGGGAATATCTGGGAATCACAGACCACTTTAGATGTCATGAAAACTGGATGGTTTGGAATTCAAGACATCTTTAGGTTTGGCTCCTCTTTCCAGCTAAGAAGCCACATGGCTTTTTTGTCCTGCCATCTCCACTCTGCTCTTGTCTGATCTGTTTACAGATCAGCTTCCTCTCCTCACCCATAGCTTCCGTTCCTTCAGCTTCAGTTTGCCTAGGCCTTCGAGGTTGCAGACAGGCAGCTGTTGCTGCTTGACTCTGAGGCAACTGGTAGTCCACCAACATCCTGGCTCAACACATCAGTCCGAGCCACCAGGTTGAGACTGCTTGGATGTCCCTATACTGAGCATTTCCAGTGGTTTATCTTTCCCCTCTCCCCTCATCTCCATCTTTGGAACCATATGCATCAAGCCACTCCCAGCACCTATTATCCTATGGGACTTTGGTTATGTTTATGGCTGACAGCATAGATTTTGGAATCAGGTAGACCTGGATTTAATTCCTGGCCTGCTACCTAGCCACTTAAAGTCATTTAATCTCTGAATATCACGTTCCTCATTTGGAAAATAGTAGAATTTCTGTCTTGCAAGGTGGTTGTGTGGGTTAACTGGGGAACTCTATAGCCAGGACTGGGAACATAGGAGGTGCTCAATAAACAAGCTATGACTATCATGTGTTATAAACCTTACTGTTTTTTGAAGATCTTCTCTAGGCTGGTTGGAGGCTGAGAGGTAAAGAATAGATTTGTTGACTGAGGAAGCCTGTGGGAGAGCTCAGGATAGGCCTTTCAGCAGGTTAACTTCATAGGCTAATGACTCTTAATAGATTCTGAGCTGTCTGTCCTTGGAGGGGTAGTGAGGGAGCTGGGTCTTTATACATAAACAACTTGTTGATGCCATGTGGGCTTGGGAGGATTGGGCTGTTCATTACCAGAAGAGTCTGTTTGTTGTTTCTGCTTTGCAGCGGACTCAGATCAGCATGTCCTGGGAAAGCTATAACAAGGTACTGAGGGAAGGTGAGCTTGAATGATAGATTCTAGCCCCCCCCCCCACCCCCCGCCAGAAGGTTTCTGCTGTGTGCCCAGGTGTAAAGATATAACCTCTTGTACTTGTTTCCAGGAATACCTGACAGTACCTATCAGGAGATCATAGGCTGTATAGCCGTGAGCCCGTTGGATGCCTCTAATAAGGGGATTGAGGTTTTCAAACAGGCTGTAGGCCAGAGGGCATGTTTGGAGGCTGGGCTGTGAACCATTAGGCAGACACTGCACAGTGCCGCTACATGTACTGTTCTTTCTGCTGAATACTGATCTGACTGGAAGTTTGCTCATCTTTCCAAACAGCCTAGTTGTTTCCTATTCTACTCCCAAAGCAAAAGTAATTCTTCGTCTGTACTCTCAAAGTACTATGTGAAGTGTGCTACTTCAGCTTCTAAATATTGCACTGTGATTGCTTTGTGCCTTTGGCTGCAGTTTTCTGAAGCCATATTCATCTTTGTATTCCAAGAGCTTGTCATTTGAGATACAGCCAGTATACTTATTCACCTAAGGAGAGATAAGGAATGACAGGGTGCATTTGAGTGGGATAGATGAGAACAGCGGTGTTACAGAAACCCAGGTTCTAGGGCATAAGATGAAGGCGCTGTTGACTAGGCATGATGGAAGAAGTAGGGAGACAGGAGAACTTAATTAGGTAGAACTCGTGGGGTGCTGAGGGCAGGTAAGAGAGGAATCTGAAGTAAGTCCCAGGTTTCTGGCTTGAGCAACTGTGGGTAAGCTGGTGATACCATTCAAAGTGTTGGATTTTAGAAGTAGGACATGGGTGAGATCTATGCTAGGGGTCTGGGAATCAGCATCCTAGAGGGTAATTAAAGTCACAGTAGATGAGATATTCAGGGTAAGATAATGAGGAGAGAAAATGGCCCAGAATAGAACTGAGGAGCATTTCATGGATGGGTAAAGGAAAATGAACCAGTAAAGGTGATGGAATAGGAAGGTTCCGCTAGAGATGTAGGAGTAAAACCAGGAGATTTAATTTTTTTTTTTTTTTTTTTTTTTTTTTTTTTTTTTTGAGACAGAATCTTGCTCTGTGGCCCAGGCTGGAGTACAATGGTATGCTCTCAGGTCACTGCAACCTCTGCTTCCTGGTTCAAGCAGTTCTGCCTCAGCCTCCCGAATAGCTGGGAATACAGGCGCATGCCACCATGCCAGCTAATTTTTGTGTTTGTAGTAGAGATGGGGTTTCACCAGGTTGGCCAGGTTGGTCTCGAACTCCTGACCTCAAGTGATCTGCCTGCCTTGACTTCCCAAAGTGCTGGGATTATAGGCATGAGCCACCATACCCAGCCAAGTTTTTAAAAATTAAATATGGGGGGGATGGGCAGGTTGTTAGCTGTCAAGTGCTGTTGAGATGAGAGAGGTCAGAATGCAGTGGGGTAAGGATTGCTGAGTAATATGGAGGGCCTGTTTGAATTTATAGTACTAGTATTCATAAATTTGTAGTTAACGGCAGTCATCCCACTGGTATGGGTATCTCTCCCTACTCAGGAATCTAGATACAGCTGTGGAAGAGGTGAGTACTGAGGGATCATCCAGACTTCATTTCAGGCAATTGAAATGAAAGCACAGTGAGCAAAGGAGTTTTAGTCCATTAGCAAGTTAAGTGATGGCAATGCTTAACTACCATGAACTTCGTAGAACAGGTAGAAGAATAAAGATAGGAGTAGGTTCTTGTACTGGGCATACTTTAACAAGTGACCTGGGAGGATGGGAGGCAGTGGCCAGAAACTGGAACTTTTCAGTTGCTTGAATTATTAACTTTGGAAGCAGAGCAGCCCTGGGTGATGGCAAAGTCTAGGGTCCCTGAGTGAGGTGAGTGCCTGAGAGGCATGTAAGAGCAGTTGCCTGGAGATTGGTTAATGAAGGTATGGTGGGAAGGAGTTCTCTACATGGACGTTAAGTTCTCCAGGAAGTTGGCAATAGAACAGGTGCCAACCTCTTGAGAGGGAGAGAGGATCCAGAAGATCTGCATACAAAGGGAGGGAAGGACAGGATGGCATAAATTTCAAAAGAGCAGAGGGCTTACACAGCCTACTAGAGAGACTTCTATGTTAGGGGTAATGTGAGGCTGTGAGTGGAGCTGGCTGCCAGGCAGCCTGTGTAAAATGCGCCAACAGCCAGTCTAGCCTGTCAGGATTCACTGGGGCTTACTGGGAAGACCTGACTATTGGGGCAGCTCCAGAAGGCAGGAGCTTCCTGGGCTAACACAGGGGAAGGCAAGCTGCAAAGTCCCAGGAAGGAATGTGTATCTCACAGGAGGATACACATCACCTTTGATAGCTCCATATTTGTGTTCTTTGCCACATGTGATATATTCCTAGAGCTTGATTAATTTTTCTGTTTTGTTATGCTCAACAGGACAGCCAGGGTTTGCCTGCCCTCTTTACTTATAATTTGGATTCTCTCTTTGTCTACTCTGGCTCAGGCCACCTGAGTAAACATCTGCCTAGATCTGATGCAGGCTCAGATCTCTCCCTCAGCCCAGGCCTTACTAGTGACCCCCATCAGTCACCCTGATTATGAAGGCAGAACTCTTCTGAGTCTTATCTGGGTCCTCCCTGCTTCATCTTCGGCTTCAGAACAAGCACTTGTTGAATTCTGCACTTGGGCATCAGCATCTAATGCTGAGAGGCTAGACTGAAGAGAGAACAAAGTGTATTTCCATAAGCAATGACAGCATATCCTCTGTTTAAGGAACAGTGCTAGAACAGTTTGAAGGAGGGACAAGAGTAGTAGGAGGTAAATGGGAATGGGAACGGTTGCTCCATTGTGAAAGGCAGTGGCTCTCAAACTTCAGAGCTCATTAGAAGCACCCAGAAGCCTCATTATAATGCAGATGTCTAAGCCCACTCCCAGAGTTCCTGATAGGGCCCCAGAAGTTCATTTCTGGTTTCTTTGATATTTTTCAGTGAAGCAGGAAGCCAGTTTATCATTTGAGAGTGGGAATGGGGGAGAGGAAATATATTCCAGGCCCACAGGGCACAGAACTACCCAGTCAAGCTAGACTGATTTATCCCCTTACCTCTCCTATCACTTGGGTCCCAGCAGTCAGCAGTGACTAGGTGGAGAGGAGCTGAGGAGAACAAAGAGCATACAGATCGCTCCTCCCTTTCTCAATGCAGGCTCCTAGACTTAGCTGAGGCAGAGCTGGGAGGGGAAAAAATATAAAACTACAGCAGGTACAGATTGTTACACAGGATTAAACATTCTAATTAATTAATTGAGATTGTGTTTGTTCCCCGAACTGATCACAGGACTATCAAAAACATCACAACCTTGCTGCAGCTTTTCTCCACAGCAGGGAGAGTACCCCCCCAATGAATAAAATTTGGAGGGGTGGTAAGAGACAAGAATAAAATTAGGTTTGGACATCCGTGCCTCATGCTTGTTCAGCATCCCTTTTAGAGTTCTCCAAGAAAATAGTTACTACTTCTGCAGTTATTGGTGTGCTCCAGCTTCTGTTCCCACAATATAGTCCTAAGGGAGCACAGTTCTAAAAGAAACAACATGGTCTTGGCAGAGACACTGCTCAGCTCCAAACTCAACCATTTATGTAATTGCACAAAACTCTCTACAGCTTTTCACAGAGACCAGTAATTAGAGCCTTTCATCCCCAGGTCATCCTCCTTCCCAGGTGAATCCCCTGACCAGCCATCTGGTTTTAGGATATCCTGCAGTAACTGCTTTACTGGTCTAATTGCTTCTGCTCCTGTCCCCAGAACAATTAATTTTCCACACAGCCAAGTGATCTTTTTTAAATGTAAATCAGCTTATGTCACTTCTCTGCCTAAAATCCTTCAATGATTCTTACTGCCTCGAGAACAAAAGACAAACTTTCCAGGCCCTGTGTGATCTTGCCCAGGCCTCCATTACCATCCGAATCTTAACCCACTCCTCCCCTTTCACGAAACTCTAGCCGCACAGTCTTGCTTTTATTCATCAAGCATTCCACACTGTTTATGAGTCTTTGCGCATGCACCATCTTCCTTGAATACTCTTTCCCCGGTGAGCTTATTTTCATCTTCCTGACTTCATAACACTATCACCTTTGCTTCTGTGGAAGAAACTGGCCAGATGCTCACCGAAATGTCCTCTTTGTGAACACAAGTAAACAGCATTTCCCAGCTCCATGCATCTAGGCATGTGTGAGTAGTTCTAACCAATGGAAAATGAGTGGAAGTGATATTTCAATACTAAACCAAGGCAGTTAAAGGGTGGCTGAGCCATTTTATTGTTGTCTTCCTCCTTCCTTTTCAAGGTGATTTTAAGCATGTGTTTTGAAGGTGATGGAGGCATAGCATAGAAGTCTTAATACCTGAGTTACTATTTAGAGTATAATAGCTACTTGACCAAGAACATCCATGTTGGATTTTGAACAAGAAAATAAACCTTGATTATGTTCTGCTAGTGAGTTTTAAGGGTGTTTCAACAGGTATCATTATATACTGGATATATCTTCTATGAGTATCTTGTCCACCTTACTCTTGACCACAATACCCTCTGTTTTTTTCAGGGTGCTCCAAACAATTATCTTGCCAGATGCCAGTTAACACTTTACGTTTGTCCCATGAATTTAAAATTAGGGGTAAACATATACTTACAACAGGAAGTTG